AAATACCGCCATCCAATTTAATTACGAAATCGGTTAGGTTATTGCTTAGAATGTCAAGGAGGACACTTCGAACATTTATTGTAATTGTTTTCGGTATTTATTTTCTTATTTTCTTCATTTATGTATAGAATAGATCAAATTAGTAGAATACCAGGTGCACATGACCTACAAATAATTGAAGATTAGTTCACAATGAGTTGTGGTGTCAGCGCGAGCCCTGTGAGGTCAAGTTAACGTAAGTTTAAGAAAAATGTATCCTAAAGTTGCTATTGCCACACAAGGCTTCTTTAAAAAAATCTTACCGGGTGCTCTTCACCATAAAGACTATAGAGTTGCTGTTAAGTTGCGCGATTTGAGAATGTGAACCGCGCACACCTCATAGATTGATGTGTTTTTTTAAAATCGAACATAGGGAAATAACATTGCATGCAAACTCCTATGTTCGCATTTTAAAAAAAACTCACTGTATGTAACATATAACACATTAAAAACAATTTAAGAAGTAACCGATTTATATTAATGTTTAAAAATTAAATACATATAAGGTTTCATTTAAATATCTTCATAAATAAAAAACTTGGCATTGCACATGCGTTAAACCAAATTTGTGACACTGCGCATGCGGAAAACCAAAAACATTGCACGGAATTCTTGCACCAACCCTTTCAAATTAGCCCAACATCGCCCATTCCCATATCGGTTCAGTCGTGTAGAAGTAGTACGTGTGATGGACGGACGGACGGACGGATGCAGTCAGTAGCGCTAAAAAAGCGCCAAATTGGCTGCCATCTTCAATATACTACTTGCTTTTGAGATTTCGCTTTGGCAACAGGCATTTTAGGTCTCAGCGGCGTCGAAATAGAGGGAAAAGACCGGATGCTAAAAAATAATACAAAATACCCCGTAAATTTTAACGCGGGTACTTTTTCGAATATTTAACTAGACTATTCTACATATACATATACAGAGTACAGTCACTATTTTCGCTTCGGGTGTCGTCGTGCGACACTTTGCCTTTATTGTGAGGCCATTTATGAGAATTTATTCATCTATTGTAAGGCAGAAAACCAAGAAAGGATTTTAGGGTTGATTCTTTTTGACCTAGAAACTCTCACAAAACCGACGAAAACTCTCCAAAAGGACTTAAGTAGAGAAAATGTTCTATGCTATAAATTAATACACAATATCTAGAGTGCATAATTTCCAAGTTAGTGCAAATTAAAATTCCATATGCATCCAATATCCATACCATGTTTCTAATTTAAATTTGTTGAACTTCTATGGCGGGTCTCAGAATGTTTCTCGTCAGTGCCCCGGTTAAGAACTAATGAATTTAACCCTTTCATTTTTAATTATTGTGATTTCTGAAAAAATATGTCGATAAACATTATACCACAACAGATATTCCTAAAATCTGGAAATTAACATAAATTTTATGAGGGCGCGTCAACCTGTTGGAACACATGCCCCAAGCTTATTACCTTGTTACGCTACTGGGTATACATATAGAAATAAATACCTATATTTATTTATTTAATCCTTAAATTGTTGCTTGAGTCCATTTTTTTCAAAAATAAAATAAGAACTCTGAACTTCAACTTGATGTATCTCCTAAACAAGTATAACTTGTGCACAACTCTTGTGCAGCTAAAGCGCATTTTTTTTAAACCGAAATAGTTTTTGTTTTGACATCACCAATGGATATATTTCTTGCAGACGTCTCAATCGCCCTTCTTCTTCCGGCAATCCGATTTTGAGGTATAAGGGTATACCCGATCGCGATAAGAGGTCGAGGAAGGGGGCTATGGTTAGTAGAAATTAATTCCTTTCGTTGAGACGTTTCATTACAGTACCATGGAGGATAGAATTAGTTCCACTCCTCTCCCCCCCCCGCCCCGTACTTTGATAAGAGGACAGAAAGAAGAGCAGTAGTTGGTAGAAAACGGTTCCTTTCGTTGAGACCTTTAATTAGAATACAATGGGAGATAAAATTAATCTTTAACTCCCCCATAGTTTGTAAAAAACCAATTTATTTCGATGAGACCTTTCATTGGAATACCATGAAGGGTAGAACATGTGTTTACACCCCCCCCCCTCCCCATTTCCTAAAGTGTAAATTAGCACCACTAAAAGCATGCGTATGCATAATCTGAGACCAATTGGTGGTCGTATGTAAAAGCTATGCACGTTTTATTTCCAAAAACAGCATCTCAGGAAATAATTCGTGGGAGGGGGGGGGGGGCTTTTAGACAGCGAAATTTTATGGCCGCCTGGCACACCTTCAAGGATAGGCTACCTACTGCAAAAAATTCCAGGACTCTAGGACCATTTCCCTAGAAGTAGTTCAAAACGGTAGAAGTGGGCCCGGACGGACAAAACGCAAACAATAGACGGAATGTAATTTATGATGCTTTACATTTGTCAACCTTATTCATTCTCCTCTCTCTCTCTCACTGTCTTGAACCCAACATGAGTATTAAAATTAATATTTACCTTCCACCTATACAATAATGCATTGGATGTGTCTAACAGCATTTTATAGCTTTCGAGATATTCTTCCTAACGTCCCTATCGCCTTTTATGAGTATCCTTTCCCGACAATCCGCTCTTGAGTATAAGTAATTATAATCGATCACGATAAGGGGTGGAGCAAGAAAACTGATAGATAAAGGTTAATTTCTTTCGTTGAGACCAGAGTACCGTGAAGTATAAAACAAGCCCCCCCTCCCTTTTCATCAGGGGTTAGAAAGAAGGACGGTAGCTGGTAGAAAACTGTTTCCTTTGTTTCTTTTAATGAGAATAGGTACCATGAAAGATAATACCCCCTTCCTATGGTTACCCAGTGATGCCGAAACGGAGTCGCGTAGGAAGGTTATAGTTTGTAGAAAGATGAGACCTTTCATTAGAATACCATGAAGGGTAGAACGGGTATTTACCCCCTCTCTCTACTCCATTTTCTAAAGTTTTACACCACTAGAGGCATGTACATGCATAATCTGAAACAATAATTAGTTGTCCCACATTTCTTTTAATTTAAAAAAAATGCGCTAAAAATGGTATTATTTCCAACAATTGAGAAAAACACAGAACTTTAAATTGGTGTATCTCGTAAACTATACATGCTAGGGGGCCAAATAAAATATCAAATTAAAGGTACTTTTATACACTATATTTTTTATTAAAGGATAATTTTACCTATTGTCTTCGGCGAGTTATTTCAGAAAAATTGGAAAGTCGGAAATTTTCGTTGATTTTTGACCCCAGAAATTTCTCCCATCTCGCATTGGCAAACTTAGTGTTTTCTCTCTCTTTATACTATTTAAACAAGTCGGAAAAATAAAATCTTCTACCGGACCTTTTGTAAACATTTTTACGTCTAATTTGACTGTACTAAAATATATGTACCTATACCAAATTTCATTTAAATTCTTTCGTAAATAAGAAAGTTTGCAATTTGGATCTTAAATGGTCGAGATGCGAAAAGGGCACTGTGAATGAATGCTGAATCGATTAGACTTAACTGTATTGCGTATTATAGACAGCGAGTATTATATGGCTAAAGCTATGCCCATATTGAATTTCATGCAATATTCGGTCCATAACTAACGGAGATGTCAAAAAGACCTTCCTTATTTTTTGACCTGTATTGCCAATTCACGAACTCGGACAGAGGATTTTTTAAGAAGTATTAAGTACTGGGGCAAATTGAAATAAAATTAATCGGGGGGGGGGGGGGGGGTTAAAAAATTAAGAATTTCTTTAAATGAATGTATTTCAGTAATGTGCTTAGAAACCTGCTCCTTTATAAAATTTTCCAATTAATTTTCTGTCGGAATATGTCTCTTTGGAGGGTTCCCTATAACGCCTATCCTTCCTTTGTAAAAATTCTGCCACTTGGAAAATCGCATTCGGTTCGCAATGTGCAAAACTACAGTCAAAAGATCTGATTGCCGATGTCGAAGTCCGGCAGCCGAGGGAATATGTACTGTTAGAATCATGGGATTTAATTTATGCACTAAACATCCGTTGTGACAAATTCATTGTACAAATGAAACCTGAAACCGCAGATTAGTGCGGTATTTTAGTTCTTAGTTATTACTGCTGACAGGTCTCTTTAATAATGCTTTAAAGTTTAAAGCGTGATAGCCGACAAAATCCTCGAAAAAATAAGTTGGTTGTAGGTAGGTAAGTACCTAGAAGTAGGTAGTAAAATAAAATAGATAAACACTGCGGTTTTTAAAGTTGTTATTGTCGTCAATGACTACATAGGTACCTGGGTACCTATTTGTTATTTTAGGCTAAACGCGGTTGATTTCTGATTAAATACTGAATACCTACTACTACAGAGAAAAGTATTGCGCTACATATACATGCCCAACTCTGCATTAAAAAAATTAAAAACTACATGGGTAAATGAGCGCACTACTGGGGCAATTGCCCCGGTAGTTTACATGTTAAAAAATCCTCTGAACTCGGATCTACAAATTTGAGAAAGAACCCACCTGCAAAATTTCATCCGTAATAGGTCCACTCGTTTTCGAGATACCGTGCTAACGGACAGACTGGCGGGCGGATAGACACCGCAATATTATGAATTCGCTAGTACCTTTGAATATAGATTTATAAAATCTTAAGAATCTGCATTGTTGGTGGCCTAACCACTTGCAATAAAATTTGTAAATTGAAATCAATCTAAATTGACTTACATTGAAACCCACAAATCGCAAAATCTACGGCGGCTATGGGCATTATCGAAGATAACATGTGAAACTAACTAAACGTGAATTTGTAAAGGAATTCTTCAATGGAGACCAAGTGTTTGTGGGAATCGTGAACATGATGTATGTGCCTCCATCTATCGTACTTGATGTAGAGACCAATACTGCGATTAAGTAGAATGCTTCGATAAATTGCAGTTGTCCTTCGGGAAATATTGCCAGGAAAACTGTAAATTTAAAAGTGCGCGCATTGCGCGTATGCCTGCGTACGCAATCAAAAGTAGGTAGAAATGAATGTTTGTGCGGGTAGTGTATTTAAACATGTTGGAGCGAAATCGGTGTGTTCTGTGATATTGTGCGACTTTAAAGTGATAAAAAATGTCAGAAGGGAAGTCGTTAACGCTAATTTCGTTCGGCACACAAAAGGTGAGCGAGTTAAATTCGAAAGAATCAAACAAAACCGTGCGGATATCGGTTATTTTGCCCGAATCTACCGAAGACAAGTGCCCAGAATTCAACTATAAGGACGAGCTCGTTGCTGCTAAGGTAAGTTATAACAGAAAATGGTTACGATTTTACTTGAAAATTATTCTACACGATAGCTAAATGTTTAAATTTCAATTACGCGTAGTGTTTATAACAATCTGACGTGTGCTTATGACAGAATGTTGTGTTAGAAGTAGGGCTTTCTTTATGGAAGGTTTAGGACCACGACAAATTCCATTTGGTGTTATTCAAAATGCCTGGACGTCCGGGTAATTATATAGCAAAGATTCTAGAGAACAGGCGCCATATTTGAGGGGTACTTTGTAAAAAAAGACTTCGCTGTGGTCCGCGAAGTCCCAGATGAGGTTTACGTCGAAGACTATTGCCATATGTTTTGTAGGGTTGTACGTACGTGACAGCTCTGGATATGCAATTATTTTATAAATTTATGACACGAGCCACCTCCCTGGTCTGTATCCTGCTTAGATCGATCAGTTTTATGTCCTGTGGGTCGCTTGGGGCGGCGTACCAAAGCCCCAACTCGAAGAATCCATCCGCACTTTTTGCTCGGCGTACGACATACCTACCTACCGAGACCGATTTTTAATTTTATTAGCACGTTTGCTATACATTTTAGTAATCGTTACAAATTTATTGTTTGCATTTCCATAAACGACTAGTTTAAGATATTTACTGCGGCGTTGCCGTCACTCATTGTTTAAATTGGAGCCTGGATGTTTACGCAAGTTAATGAAAGGTGGGCATGCTATTAATGTCCGAAGTGTGTCTTACCTAATTATAGTCATCATAACGTACTTTTTGTACTAGGGCTATCTTAAGTGCTGCTTAAAATTAAAAAAGATTTTCGTCGCCCCTCGCGCCCGTTTTTAATGAGGTTGTGTTTACTGGAGTCTTATCGCACTTTTACGGTATCAATCTTTAGCACATTAAAATGTTGCATATATTTATTTCAGTCTGTATTCGAACCGATAATAATCTGTATGTCAATACTTTGTGACCGTTCGTCTAATTGCCAATGCAGGTTTTGTTAGTGACACGAATGTAAAAGGAGGAATCATCCCACAGCCATTGTGAACCGGACTCGACTTTGACCAATACAAGTCAAACCTCATCCTCTCCCATATTAATTTTAATGAAATTTATTTTTAAGGTTTTCTGGGTTGTTTTTTTTTGGTTACGCGACGTTATCTCAGAGGCGAACCGAGCGTATCGCTTTCGAACCGCATTCACCTTTCCGGCCATATTTATTGTTAATCTGTTAAATAATTCCAGCATAAGATTAATTTATCTTTGCCAGAGAATGGTTTCATCTAAATTCTAATAAATAAGTATTCAAATTCTTTAAGGTCGATCCTGTTACACGGAGCGAGTGAAGGAGGTGTGTGTATGCTGTACCCGTGAAAGTGGCCGGCCGAGCGCGCACTTCTAATGCCAAATCATTTTTTCCGATAATCACAATTATATTATACAAATTTTAATTGTCTTAAACTTTTTAGAAATAAATGTTAGATGATAGTTGCAAAATAAATATGGAGCGTTGCAGAAATAACCTCGAAAGTTATGGAAAGCGGAGCAGTAACGGCGCGAAAGTATCAGGAGAGCAGAAACGGGAGGTTGTGTACGGTGTTGTGTTTCAGCAACGTGCACAGTACGATGCCGCCCCCGATTATGTTCATTTAAATTCGTCGACAAATCGCATTTTTGCGTTTTGGCGGCAAATTTTATGAATGAGCACCGAAATCGCGGTAGATGCGCTACTTACGTCATTTCGCTAGTTTTATTGTGCAAGTGATTATGTTCCAATTATTAATATCACGATGCCATACCATTTTTCTTCGTAAATGATGCGTTCGTTAGCACTTGTCAAGGACTTCCACAAATGGATCCATTATTACCTATCTAATTATCTTGCAAGTTGCATAATCACTAGGATTAGATTAATTATAATATTACCTACACTTTTTATGATTAATTAGGTTTTACGTATGTGATTCAGAGTTGAATCATTTGTTCTGAACAAATATTCCCCTTTTTTCTCAATTGTGCTATCTGATACATTACAATTATGGCTTTGCACAAATGATTTAATTATTCAAAAATGAGAATTTGTACAATTACAAATATCTCCTAACTTGAGCCCCCAGTAATAATTACGTTAGGGATTTTTAGGCAGTGATGGCTTGTCAAGATTCGCCATTAAAATTGCACCGTGTTCGATACCACATCGTTTATAATTTTGTATTGCCGTCTGTCTGTCCGTGCGCACAATAACTTTGTTTAGGAGCGTCCGATCGCTCGAGTTCAGAATTTTGCGATGTCTCTCCGTTTGTCCGTTAGCACGATGGATTCTTTATCAAATTTGTAGATCGGAGTTCGTGAATTGGCAACGTACCTTAAAAAAATATGAAAGGCCCTTTTAACATGTTCGTTAGTTATTAACCGAATTGCATGAAATTCAAAATGACCATAGCTTTAGCCACATAATACGCACCAGTGGCGGATTTAGGATTTGTTCTAGGGAGGGGCGCATACAATTTTTAAAGTGAATATATTTTAAAAAAACATTTATTATACGTATAAAAATAGAACACTTTTGGGCATAATACATTGAGCAAATAACTAATTCTTCATAAACTAAGAAAAGAACATACCAGAAAATGTCTAAATCACAAAGTGGAGCTTTCTTTTTGTCGGCAGAAATCGATTTTTTTCCACTCCACTGCAATAGATATCCTTGCACGATTAGGGCATTGTGCGCAGGTACACCATCTTGTTGAAACCAACAGTTTCTAACTTTTCTTTTGTATATGCCGGACATCGTTTTATTCGTAAAAAATGCTACTCTTCATAGTATCTACTTCTTTTATGGGCCTGGGCCTGGGCCTGGGCCATATAAAGAGGTAAAGTTGATAATGATTTCTCCTAAATGAAACGCCTCCTTTTGTAAAACTCCATAAGTGACAATGAGAAAATGCTTTTTTTTGTATCTGCTCAAACAGCATCAGAAAAAAATAAAAACGAAATCAACAAATTTCTTTTTTTTTCGAAAATTTTATTTAAACGAAATATTTAAAATTGTGTAACAAAGAAGAAAACAATAATTAACTATAACAAAAAAATTTTACTATCTTCATATCTTCTATGGTTTCCGAAATTCGCCATGATGACCAACTGCGGAATTACCACTGTCTAGGAGGGGGCGCCCCTCCTTTAAATTCGCGCCTGATACGCACTGCCAAGGTACATATAGCTATTTGGAGCTCGTTTGCTATATTTCTTTATTACACACACATTTATTAATTTACAGATTTATCCCGTAGCGGCCTGTCAGGTGAGACTAGCTCGGAGACAAGTGAAAAATTACGTTTGAAATTATTTCTTAATAAATTACCAGAATTTCGATAGTAGGTATCTCGGTAGGTATTAATTAAATTTATAACAAAAACAAAATTTAACGGTTCATTAGGTCAGATTCAACTGTAAAATTTATAGATTTGGGAATTTACAATTATTTCTGAGAATTTGCAATTGATCCGGGAGTTTACGTATTTATCGGGAATTTTGCTCTCCTTGAAGTGCCGTTGCTTCAATATTGAGAAAAACTAACCCCGTTAGTCTTTTTGACATGTTTCTCGACCTACCTTCGAAAATACCAGTTTTGGTTCGCTGATAATAATCCACTGTAAGTATCTCTTATAGTTTCTGATTTTCCCATGCGGTGCATTGTAATTTTGGACACACTGCAAGTATGCATTTATAAAAATATACCAAGTGTTGCATTTAAAAATAGCAACTTTGGGTGAAATTTCAGAAACGGCGAAATTTTTTGGCTACGCCACTGGATTCTTCCATAGGTTTACTCTATGATTCTACTTAAAAATATCTAAAATAGGCACCGTATTTAGTTCGTTCTTTTTGCATTCAGTATTTTGGCCAAGGATTCTTGCAGTAAGGACAAGCATATCGCATATTGTAAAAATCAGATGTTCGTATGCGCAACCAGCGCAATGTCATCTTTCTTATTTATAGATATTTCTTTGAAATTTTAATTCTTGTAGTAAAGGCTAACATACCTATCGCATATTTTAAACATCAGGCGCAGACTGCGCAATGCTAATTTTCTTATTTGTCAGAATATGCTATAAATTATTTTCCATTCTACACATAAATAGTCCGTTAAATGACATTTCGAGAATTCCTGATCAATTCATGGAAAATGCGCTAAAGTTACTCGCCCTAAGACGTAAACCTTTTTTTCAGTTTCTATGTTAATGGGTAAAAAAACGGTCTAATTTTGAAAAAGAAAGTTTGTAATCTCGTTTTTTATTTTGTTTTATTTTTGAAGTAGATACATTTGTTTTTTTAGAGATGGACAGAGTTCACGATCTACACGTTGCCGACATGTTATCTATAAATACAGGGTGTGGCTATGTTGAATACATATCTATACAAAAAATTGAATGGCAGAGGGTGCTAAAAATAAACATTTTTTACAAATAAATCGAATGTTACTTAGGAACCCGAGTAGGAACCATGACACTTAAAAAAATAGACTTTATCTAGCATTTTGAGCATGCTCTTTTTGTTTTTTTTTTCGTAAACGTTATTTCCAAAATTCCAATATCAAAACGGTGCACCCGCTAAAGTAGATTGCGAAAAATATGCTAATTTGGTATCTGGGGATTTTTCAACAAGAAAAACGAATCCAAAATTAGTTTTTGAAAATTTCAACCAAAACCCCAACTGCAATTCTGGTTCGAATGAAACGGCATACGCAAAAACCTAACCAATTTCCTCAATTCTATCCTGCTAATGTGTAATTGTGGCTTAAAAAAATTTTAAGAAACTTTGGACAGAGCTGTATACCTGGCTATTTACTATTGGGTGATTTAAAAAAAATGGTTTGTTTTAATCCCCTCTAAAAGCACGTCGAGAGCAAATGAAAACCTCTCTTCTTTCAAACTCATTTTATTAATCTGTACGTATAGGTTGCAAATTAACCTAATAATTACAAAAAACCAAGTTTTCACAGTTTATGACACAGAAAAAGTTGTATTTGTAAAATAAGGAGTGGGGGGGGGGGGGGGGATTAAATGTTACAACTCTTTTCAGTGTTCTGGATTTTGGAAAGCTTGGAAATCCATGTATTTCAAAAACGGGGGTTTACAGTATAGTTGAATTCCGCAGTTCTAATTTAATAAGCGTGTACCTGAAACCATAAAACATTTTTTTGGACAGTAAAAGTTTATTTAAAAATAGAGGCTGATTAGCAAGAAAATAATGAACATGTGCGGTTTTAAAGGTTTATTCAAAACGATATGATTGTGGCGGGCTCTGTGACGTAATAAGCCCGACCAATCAGCTCCTAGAACCATTCAGATGACATAACGACTTGGCAATATTGCAGGAGAATGGCATTTATAACTTGCGTCATCTGTCACAGGCACTTGTCACTTTCGTGCTAGATGCAGTTAAACATCCCTCTCAAAACGTCAAAATTTGACAAACGTCAGACCCTCGCGTAAGGTTGCCAGCTCACTTCTACGTGATTGGTTGTAGGTTTGTGACGTATTTAGTCTGAAGCGTTTCAAATTCGAACTAAAAACACAGCTTTTCAATAATTTATTTTGGGTTTATTTTACTCGCAAATAAAAATTGAGGACACACGGGTCTTTTTATTTTTAATGTACTTTGTGGATCAGAAATAAAAAATGAAGGCGGGATGACCCCATTAAGCAACAAAAATACTCAGGTGTGCTGTCGGTCAAAAGCTGAAAAAGTCATCCTCTCTCGAAAACAACACATAAGTACCTACTATCACAATGAAAGTATTTTGTAGAACATTTTGTTGGAAGTAGAAGCAGTATTTTTACAAAATCGGGAACCTTAAGTTTAGTTGCATTTTTTAGTTTGTTATGGTGTCTAAGAAAAAACCCATTACTAAAATGACTTTTTTTCCAGACTAAACCCGATGTAAAAACTTCTATGCCAAAACCGACGAATGGACTGGATCCATTCAATGAAGATGATGATGATGTGAAAAGGATAGCGGCTGAAATGGAGGCAAAATATGTAAGTTTCATATCTTCACTGTAATCTGGTTTGAAATGCATATTTCCATATTTTAGGGTATGGGCGTAGCGAAAAAACGGAAATGGCGCAAAGACGACTATGCCGACATTGGAATGGGATACGACGAATCCGATTCTTTTATAGATAACACTGATGGATATGATGAAATCATTCCAAAAAACGTTACCACCGTTCACGGTGGTTTCTACATTAATTGTGGTGCTTTAGAGTTTAAGACTGACGAAGCTGTAAGTTCAGACGATTCCAGTTCGTCCGATGAAGAAGTCCAGGATAAGTCCGATAGCAGGAAGGTAAATAGTGTAGGTGCTGTAAAAATCGTAAAACTTCGGGTTTGTTTTTATAGCGAAAACTGGAATCGTCTGCCGAGTCAGAGGAAGACACACCGCCTGAAAGAAACGGTACTGAAAGTACTACGCCAAGTGTAACTGAAAAGGTTTTTTCTGCTTTCCCACTTTTCCATCTTTTTCAAATATGTTTATAGAAACCGAAATTAATGAACAACGCCAACGGCATGCAGAAGGCTATAAAGAAGAGACTATTCGGCCATGAGAAGCTTAAACAGCAAATGCGTAAAAAACGTTTAGATGATAGCGCTAAGAAAACAGTCTCTCAGTTGCTAAGGGAGAAGAGGATTGACTTAAATATGACGGTGGAAAGTGTTAATGAAGACCCTATTGAAATTGAAGGTTGGTTTGTTACTTTCTCTGTATCTTAATCCTCTTGACTCGATTTTCTTCTTTAATTCCACAACGAGATTTTGAAATTCTGATACTAACGCATAACATGTTTTCAGTGGAGAGTTCCTCGCCGAACGAAAATAAGAAACCCCCCACTTTAGCGTCTGTTGATGACGTTATAGAGTCTGTAATTAGTAACGCAGTTGTTCAAAACGTACACGTCGATGAATCTAGTAAGGAAAGTGTTGCAAAATCAACGCCACCTGTTCTTAAGCTTGGTAATCATACATTTTTCTCCTCTTTTTAATAACGAGTGAAATTGCAGCAGTCAATTCTTCACCATCGGACGCGGAATCAAACGATGGATTATCAATAAGACCGACAGAAATAGTGAAGTTACCGGAGAATCTTCCCAGTGATATTATTAGCATTATAGATAGTATTAAAACTGCCGCAGCGTGTAGTACTGAAGGAAAAGTCAAGTTCTTTACAGACAATGTTAATGGAATGTTATTGAAGTAAGTAGTTTTGCTTTAGACATCACATTTTCATTGTAATTTTAGTTTAGAGCGAAAGTGTAGATGTTTAGGTAAACACTCGAGGATGAAGGTGTACGAGCACTTAGCACCTTTTGTAAAATGTAGGAAAGAAACTTTAATAAAGCGCGCAAAGAATTTGTGCATGATAGAAGAGCAGAAGAAGATAAAAGTATTACTTGATAGGTATAATGCATAATTGCCAATACTGATTATTAACGGTGATGTTTTAGTTTGAAAAAGACAATTGATATGATGATGCCTAGTATTATTCGAAATTATGAAGATGAATGTAAAGCTGTTGTCAATCGAAAGTGAGTATCTTTGCATCTTTGAAGTACTTCACCATGTGTTTTTTAACTTTGTTTAGCAGACAGACGTGGGGGTGGTATAGGTGTGCGTGGTAAGCTACCATACGCTCCCAATAACGTGCGCTTAAAAATTGATTTGTTTTAATCGATCTTTCTTTTTAGGTTTTCGCCAAATAGTGATGAGCATACCAAATATTTAAGGCAACCCAAGAAACATTTCAGTTGGACTGAAGATCTAAAGTTAGTATATCTACCTTGTTAACCTATCTTTATGTACCTACCTATTGTACAATGTATAGTTGTGTATGACAAATTCTTAAAATTGTGTGGACAAGGTCAGTTTATGGTGAAATTGTTATTTTGGAACCAGTACTACAGTGACCGTATATAGACAATGTGGCCATATGGTTGATGTCCACCATTTTTTTCCCAAATTATTAATTCAGGGGTCCCCTCTTTTCTTCATGTTTTCAAAGACTCTGAACCACATTTTACTCACCTTCAGTTTTAACATATTATAGTGTTACAGGTTCTGTCGAAAAGGGGTAGTTTTCACCATTATTTTTGTTTAAGTCCCTTGCATTAAAACTAAGCTGGTTTTGGCGAAAATACTGTTGGTCCCTATTTTTTGGCGACTAAAGTAATTTGTAATTTTGCAAAAAATTGCCTTTTTTTGAAAATAACTCAAACTTTTAATAATATGCAAAATTCTGTGAAATTCAAATTTGTAGGTTTTGCATAAGATATGGCGGTGTATATGTTTAAGCTTACATTTTTCGAAAATAAGCATTTTAAACCGGTCTATAGGGCATATTACAAGTACATAAATAAAATGTGATAACGATTATTTTCAATTGGGGTGACAATTTGGGGGTGATTTTCACATTTTTTGTCGCAGAAGGTACACAGGATCTTTCATTTAAAAAATACCAACTTTGGGTCAATTCCAAGAAACGATGGCCGAACCCTTTTTTAACTACGCCACTGGATTCTATGTAAAAATATCTAAAATTGATAGTTTTTAAATTGTTGCTGTTTCATGGGTAGTGAGATATAGCAAATACCTTAATATATTAATACAAGAAACTCGCTACTATTTGCATTTGCGTAACGCGAGACACGGAAATTAGCGCCATCTACACGGCCCGGTGTAGAATGACGAAAAATTAAGGAGCAAATGAATTATATAATAATATAATATATTTATCCATAACAATAACTATCACAAAGGACATAAAACCATGAATAAACTTTAAACCAAGCGTGACAGCTTACTGTTGACACTTCCTACCGTAAGGTCGTTGCGCTGTAATTTGCGACCGGTTTTCAATGTCAGTTTCCTGTATTAATATATTAAGGTATTTGGATATAGGTAACATCCCAAAAAGTCAAACTTTTCGTTTGCACCCTGTATCTCAAAAACAAACATTCTTTCTGCTTCACAAAAATTTTCACGGGGTCGCGAAAAACAAAAGTCTATCTCTCAAAACAGCTGAGATACCCTGTAGGTTCAACCAAAACAGGACACAGGGTACAACTGGAGGCAAATTATACTTACTGTTACAAGCACTTTACTCCCATTGTACTGGGCAACAGGGATTAAGAAATATTTCTCTCTCTCTAAAAGAATAAGAATAAAGAATATTACACCCCTACTGGCAACAAATGATCAAACCACATAATATAAAAAAACAGTTTCTAGACTTACATTGCCCAGTGACAGAATGCCATGCCTCTCACATTTTTATCAGTTCTTTATCTTAATACATTCTATATTATGTAAGTCACATAATAAGTTTTTTTCTTTCTTTTAGAAAATTACTACGAGATATAGTCAACTTAAGAAGAAAATGCTATATTAATGAAGGGAAGCAAAAGGAAACATTGGATATTTTGTTAGTGGAGTTCTTGAAAACAGAAATACACACCATTTGGCCTGACGGATGGGTATCCATGAATTCCCTTATAAAACACAGCAATATCATAGATCCTAAGAAGAATGTAGACTCCATTAAAAAATCCATCCCTTCGTCGTCTCCTGAAGTAAATATCAATCCCCCTCCTAATATATCCGTAACCCCCACAGCTGCACCTGCAAAAACCACATCATCAAACATTACAATAAATCCTACTTCTAATATTCCTATTAGTGCAAGTTCAGCTTTAACAATAACACCGGTTACTACGCCGCCCCCACCTACTCTTACTCCTCACAAAGTGACCTCTTCTGACAAGGTGAAACCTAAACACCCAGTCGGTGATACAGTAATTAGTAAAATTAGTAATGATACTCCAAGTATCAGCAAAACAAGTCGTAGTTTACCTCCTGCCGATATTGTTAAGACGCCATCTACAACAAGTGTAAAATATACTGCTGGTGCTAATAACTTAAATCATATTGTTCATAATTCCTTAAAAGAAGTCGATACAATATTGATTGATGAACCGTCATTGAAAAAGGAAGAACCTGAAGATTTATCTTCACATCACACAATTGTAGATAAGCACTTAGAAAACGTGATTAAAGACGGTTTATCTAGGAGCAATTTTCAAATAATCGATCTAACTGATCACTCCGACTACAAGAAGAAATTGGCTTCAAAAAGCAAACCGAAATATGTATATGATTATCAAGAGAAAATTCCAAAACAAAAGTTGGAGCCAGTAGAAACGATTCGCGTGAAATCACAAGAAGAGTTAACCGGTTCACTAGCTTTAACTCAATTAATAGCGGACTCTTTAAATAATGATTCAAATAGGTTTACTAAAAGCAATGTTATTTCAAAAACTTCTAATAGTGTAATTAATAGTACTTCATCTCATAATAATATTAATAGTTCGACGTTTGAATATCCTAAATCTCGAACGGTTAGTGACGGTGACGATATTCAAAAGGTGATGGAAGGTTTAAAGGTTTTACAAAAGATGTCGTCGCCTGTGAAAAGTCACGAGGACGCAAGAACCAGCTCGCCTGTTTCCGTAATTGCGTTTAACAAGAGCTTTTCTCAAGATGCGACCGCAAAAACTACCGCCTCCACGCCGACCACACCGAGATCTAACAGCTTTCAAGATGCGTTTCAAAAACATTTCCTGCCAGATTTTACGAAAGCGTCGTTCGCCGCTTCCACTAGTAAAGGAAGCTACAATAGGTGAATACTGGTTTGGATTTAATCATTTCTTACACTCTCTTTTTCAGTTATAATAAACATAATCATGCTATGCCCAGAAGTAGTGCGCCAAGCGGTGAAAAAGTTGTACAGGTAATTTTTTTTTAAATTTTTTAGACGTTATCCTTTTTCTAGATATATTATGTTAATCATAACCTTTCTTTATATAAGCTGTACAATTATACATATATTTAAACTTCTATATCAACAAACCTTTCTTTTTTTTACTTTTCACATGCTTCTGTATGCACTCATATTTTTTTTTAATGTTTTCGAAGTTTTTTTTTTATTATTTATTCATGCAAGACATACTTATAGCATATGGATCTGTTTCTTCGGTTTCCACAATATTTAGTTTATTTCTTTTCTGTTCTTGTAGTTCCTCCGTATTTATCTTGGTGTACACTGCCAAAGCATTTAGAATCACTCGTCTACTCTCCATATCTTTGTGCAGTATCAGTGTTATGACGCTCACTAAATTAACCATAAAACACTATATGCAGGGTCGTCCAAACCGTTTGAGATATGCACATGAAAGTTAGAACGCTTCCATTTCAAATTATCGCACATATTTTGAGGTTAAAAACATTTTTTTGGCACATGGTTTTTGAGTGTGACCGCCATCATAATTTTTGTTAATGGCAACATAGATTATTTTCTTGCAGGAAAATTAGAAAAACCTAACTATACCCTTAGCTGACTAAAGTATTGCAACTTAAATTTAGATACCTTTAAATTAACAGAACCTCAAAAATTAACAAAAAAGCAAAGAGCAGGTGTTTAATAAGTGACAAAAGCACAGTACATATTGTTTGTTTCCTTACAACTATTGTATTATGTGAGAAATAAACCTTTACTTTGTTAAGTATGGACCATTTGACAGTTTTTCCTCCATTATTTTCTGATTTAATACCATGGTTAAGGTAGTAAGAACGAGAAAAAAATAGGCTTTAATGATTTCTCACATTATTTATGTTCCCATATCAAAAAATTCAAGATGGCGATCGCACTCAAAATCCATGTGTAAAAATTTCATTTTTATATCTCAAAAAATGTTAAATAATTTTAAATGGAAGCGTTCTAATTTGCATGTCTATGTGAGAGCTTTTGTTCCCTCTTTACTAGTGACTATTTTCAAAATTATTTACAGTTAATTCATCAATATTATTACACGCTATTTTAATTCACTTTCTCTCAAATCTTAAACCCGTAATGATTCCGAACACACTCTGAACCCCTTTATATGTTTCATGCTATTGTGTTAATAATATAATTCATTAATCAATTTTTATTTTTCAGAATCCTAGTAACTTTAGTCAGCAAGCTTCAAATAAATTAAAAAGTAATTATTCTTCGCAACAATCAGGTAAAGTATTCATTTTTTATCTCTGTCGACGTTCATTTTAAACATTTTTGCTAGGTTCATATAATATGTTGGATGATATGTTTACAAATTTCTTGAGCGAGTATGGACATTCAAAAACAGGTATGGGGTGTGGTTTTTCGGTGTTATATTAGCGCTTCCAGTTTGCAATCTACAATGTACTTTGCTTATCTCTTTCTAACATTTACCATAAAAAAAACCAATTAAAAAACTTCGCATTTCCCATTTCTGCTAAACTTGCAAATTTAGTAATTTTAGTACCTGTAACCATTATGCACCCCTTACCTACGATCTTATTAATGCACTACACTTGCTTTAAAAGGGTCATTTTTATACCTTTAATGTATAATATTTATCTGTGAGGCGTTCCTGTAGTACTATTATCAAAGACCAGAAATTTGAATTTAAACATGAATTTATCTCTTACAAACATTTGGAATTACTGTGACAAGGGCTTTTTAACAATTGTGTATACGAACTTAGTGACCTATCCTGTATTTCGCTGACAGCCAGTAATAATTAACAGTATATTGTAAGGGAATATACAGGCTTGCTGATGAGTCCTGGAAACGGTCGATTATCGGGGATCAAAAAAAGTGTTCTACAACAGTTTTGGGATTCTTCAATGTCTACTATAGGCATTAATAACTTTCATTATACAGGGTTGGTTATAAAGGCGTGGCACACTAAAATTACATTTTTTTACTGGAATCCTGTGTATATTATTTGATATTTTAATTCTTCTCAGAATTTTAAACAAAATTTAAGAATCCCAATGAACCCAAATTCACAGTCGTTTCCGGGTTATCATGTTTTGAATTTCTTTTGAAAACCTTATGCGGTTTTGACAAGAACTGATTGTGATGTTTACCGATAAACCGGAAACGATTGAATTTAGGTACATTGTGCCTCTTACAAATTCTGCTTAAAATTGGAATAACAATTGAAATACCGAATAATGTACAGGGTGTTCCATTAAAAAAAATTAAATTTTGGTGTGCCACACCTTTTATGACCATCCCTGCATAATTACAATTGATAATCGACCGTTTCTAGCATTAGCACCCTGTGTACTTTTTTTTAAAATTATATCATCTGTATTCCTAATAAGTCTTGAATGTATACACAGATTAATTACAAAAACCCATAACACTTGCGGCGTTTCCCCTCTGGATGGGTAGACTTATTCGTTGAATAAAGTAGACCTTCGCAGTCGAACACCAGTATACTTAGTTCTCATCAGGGTTTTTTTTGTACCAAAACGAAACTGTACCTGTGGTTCACACTTAAAATTCACTATATAACTCATATAGGGCAATCTTATTCTTATAGACACACACACACACACAGCGTTGCCACAATTCCTTTAGCTGTTCCTTATGTTGAAGTAACCAACTTTTAACAAAATTGCAGGTAAATTGCTTCTTTCCTTGAAATAGATGTAGTGTATGTACAAATTTGGCAACTCCATCCTCCATAAGACCAATACTGAACTCGTAAGTGTGACTTGCACTATAGTTTTCAAAAAGTAACAGGAACCTCTGTTATGTTGCCTTACAAGACAAAAAGTAATTTTGTGTTTCTGTCGCCTTTTTAAATCATGGTACCTTTTTACTTACTAGGGAGACATGAGTGCCTGAAAATGTAGCTGTTCAATATACCAAAGTTTCAGCAGATATGCATGCACTGTTGATATTTTCTGGGCAGTTTCTATTAGCGTTTGTGTAGGTACCTATTTTAGGGATAAAATTACCTGAAAGTTTTCTTAGAGGTAATATTCCGTAAACTTTTTGTCTCTGCATTAAATGTTTGTGAGAGCGAGTTTTCTTGGGAACAATTGTCAATTTATCACGAATCTTTCGAATTTACTACGAACAGTGGATAGGTGCAGGAATAAGGTATTAATAGTTATTTTTAGTACAAGTGAGCAAATATATGGCATAAGAAAATTTTCATTTATGCCTTAGTACAGGGTGTCCCAAATTCGAAACAGTGATGAATCTTATTTTTTTAAGTAGGGCCTTGCATTTTTTATTTTATTTTTAATAAATAGCAGCCTGTTTCACCTGAGCATATATCACTTACCTCTCTATGCATCACAGGTTCAACATGGAACATTCACCTTATCTCCTGAAAATGATTTTTTTAATACAATAACATAAACACGGAAAAAAGTATCTTTTCCATTTTGAAAGTTGATAAACAATATTTGCAATTCCGGAAGTCGATTCAAAATTGCATAATTAGGCAGTTCCTCTTGGAAGCTAAATCAAACAACATTTTCTGGAACGACAGCGTCCTCCAATTAAACTGTTGATGCAAAAACTGAAGGAAAATACCCTTCAAGTAACGAATTTTTTATGTTTTTGTATGCTTTTACAAAATGTGATACTGCTTCTGCAGGATCAGGAGAACCAAACCAAAATAAAGAGCTGAAAATCTTGGGATGGTAAGACGTTACATGTAGCGAATCATCCTTGAATAGTAAGATACTGATTCCGATTGCTGAAATAAAAAATTACAGATTATTATACTATAAAATTTAGCACTAAACTTGATGTATACAGTGTACGAATATTTGAATGGCAGTAACATATAAATCCAATATGGCGTCCATAAGAAATAAAACAAGTTGGTGTGTTTTACTCAAAAATCTAAGGGTTTGTTAAAACTACGTATTGGTAGGACGCATGGATTTCATGAGAAGGAACTAAATTTAATGCCATTTTTCTTTGATCAGATTAAATGGTAGAACACAGTCTTTATTTATTCACAAATGTCGTGCGAAAAACGGCAGGACACTTTGATTTCATGAGAATAAGGAACTAAATTTGATGCCATTTTTCTTTGATTCAATTAAGTGGTAGAGCACAATCCTAATTTATTCACAAATTTCGTGCCAAAAACGGCAGGACACTGCTTGTATGAGAAGGAACTAAATTTTATACCATATCTTTTTGATTAAATTCGAGGGTAGATGGTAGAGTTAAATTTGTATTTAGATGATATTTTGCAAGACGCGCAGGTGTAGTCTGTGGAGTCACGATAGTTAAATGTAAAACCAATAAGTTCAGTTAAATGTTTGTTCCTTACAAGAAATGTCTACCTGCTGCTACCACTACTGTGGTTAGTTCAGATCAGCATCTGTTGTTCCAACCCTATGAGTCGCAGGACCGTTCAGAACACCTAAAAATAATTGCCTAACATGTCTGTTTTTGTACTTCAACAACTCTTGATTTCCAACCCAGGATGTGATCTGCAAAATATCTTGTATCAGAAGCGTTGTAAGAAAATGTAAAGTGTTATACAGTTTTAAAGGAGAGAATCTCGAGTTACGCACTATTTGATTTTATTCAATTGCACGAGTTGGAGCTTTTGATTGTAATGCCCTATTCTGTGCAGTATTCCCCACCCCTTAGGTACTTTTTCCTGTGCAAGGTAGGTAAGTGTTTTGTTCATAAAGCAGTGTTATATAGCACTGATGTGAAATGTTCAGTAATTATTTACAGTAAATTTAGACCAAAACAGTTTTCTGTTTGTACATACCTAGGTACAGCAGTTGGCAAATATAGAAGATGCTGCTATGTGACAAATATTGCAGACAGAGGTTGCAATTGATTGGATTTTTTAGTTGTATCGAGTTGTTTGCAATGAAACTTATGTTCTATGTAGAATTTGTAAATGCTTTGACTTGCACTTATTGCATCAAAAGGGATGTGTTGCGTCCCTGCAAGGGTTGCCTTTTTACTTATTTCTTTTTCATGTAAAATGTAACATAAATATGAAATATAGTCAAACCGACAGGCGAAGATGGGAACATATGCGTGTGTGGTAAGGTCCCATTTGTGAAACGCCCTCTCTCTTCAACCTTTAACGTTTATATTAGTGTGAACAACTCGTGTCTGAAGCTTACAGATTTCGCTGCATTATATGTAAAAATGACCTTTTATGTAAATGCTTGTATTGGCAGATTAGCAAAATTAAGTAGAGCCTTGCATTGAACAACTCGAATTTTAAGCTCGTCGCCTTTAATAACTGTGCTTTGATTTTTACAGCAAATTCTAAAAGCAGTTCGCAGCACAAGTAGCAGCGCACTGCTTACTACCTTACGTTTGAAGTTGCCCGAGTGAACAATCTACTGCCAGTAATGTGTAGTTTTGTTAATTTTTTTTTTGTAAATTTTGTTGTATGTATTTTTGTACAAATCTTGAGATTGTATTATATACACATATATATAAAAAAGATCATTCCTTACGTATTTATTTGAAATTGTCTATATTTTTCTGAAGGTTTGTAAGATAATTGAATAAAAGTCTATTTTAAAATTGGCGCTAATTTATTTCTGGGGGAATTTTTTGGTGGGATTCTTATGTTGGTACCGAACTGCTATCAATTTCTTATCGGAAGTGAATTTGTTTATATCCCAATTTGAAATTTAGTTATAAACCGTGATTTTCATGAACAATTTTAGCAGAAGAGACAGCCGTAAAATTGGGGTGAGTTGTGTTTTATATTTATTGGGTATTCTCGAAATGCTGTAGAGGTTATAACTGAGTAGGTCAGATATAATTTTACGTAAATATTAAATGTTTTATTTAAATTGTTGCTGCTGCTGTCATTTTCAAGACTTGTTCGCATTGATCGTTTTACGTAAATTGCGTCTACAGTTCTTTTATAAAATTGTAAAAGGGTGCTTAGTATTCAGAAATCGTACAGCTTTCCAAGAACACATTGGGGTCTCGCCCCCGTCCGTTTTAAATCACATGTTCTCTGATCGATAAATGTTCTCCTTGTTTTCGCATAACTACACTTGGAATTTTATTATTTACGAGGCAAAAGTTTTAAATGCGAGGGTTTGCTCGAAACCTATCGATTTGTAATCTTTTACGTAGGCGTGCAACACCTTGAACTCAAAAACTAACCCCTCTTGCTCGGCTAATATCGACAAAAAAAATTGCTTATTCCTAGACGTCTGGCAGCACAGCACCGAAATCCTCCGTGACCTTTTGACACAATTCTGTTGAATCCCGATATCTGTGGTAGTAACCGAAGACTATACAGGGTGTACCCTGCATTATTATAGTTATTAAGACATTTTAGATATAGGTATTCATTTTAAGCACTTTTGAAGTAAAGCATTACAACATAATTTTTTTTGCTTCTACAATACTCGAAAGTTTGCAATTTAATTTTTTCTCGAGATGAGATTTTCATTAGTGTAAAGTGAACTAATGACGTAATGCGAGTAACCAAATGGTTTCTACGGAATATTTCTACCATAATAACTGGCTTCAAATATCATACAACTATCTACTTTCACCAGCGCCGGGCAAAACAATCGAGAGCCGCAGGACCGGGCTCTGAGGGGCGCGCCTATAGTGAGCCTCGGGTATATTCCGCCCCTGACTTTCACCGGCCCTTACGTACAAAAGGCGAATAGGTACTAAGTATATCTTCGAAGCTGTACTATTATATAATTTGATATTAAATTTAAACTAAACTAAGAGTATGAATCATATTACGATCAATAATTGGAATATTGTAATGTTCTAATTATTGATATACCTACAATTAATTCAAATCCATTCCAAAAAAATCATGTAGAGTCACTTAAATTCTCATGGAGGTGTTAAGGTATAGTATTCGCGATTTCAAATAAGGATGTGACCTCTAGCGGCAAAAAAAAAGAACTTAAAAGTCTGTGTAAATATCTGAAACTCGATCTGAAACGTTTAGATTATTACCCGTTATTACCTACAAAGTTTTTGTAATGACTTCAAAATCAAAAGTATTTTGTTATATCAACGGTTGCAATTCAACCCCCAGAAGAAATACCAATCTAAGTTTTCACACCTTTCCCAAAGAAAACAAAAGTGGGAAATAAATTTCATGAATTTTAATTAATGGTTCGGAAAAGAACAGGGATAAAACATTCTAAGGAGTAGTAAACATGTCAAGGTATTGCGTAACATTTCCATACAATGCTCCCCTCTTCGTTGGCAACCAAAAATGTACCTGGTGACCCAATAAGACTGTTCCTCGGCCATATCTCGAGAACCGTTCGTCATATGACTTAGGAGTAAAAAAATTATTGGGTAAATCGGTTATGAAGAATCGCTGGAAAATATTTTCAAGTTTTAAAAGTGACCAACAGAGGGCGTAACTGCCATACTAATTTTAAAATTGCAATTTCTTCAAATTTCGCATAATAAACTAAAAAAAATTTTTACATTTTTAAAGAGAACCAGTTTATCTATCATTTTCGTAAAAACAAAAACTCAGTAATTTCAAAAACAAAGATGGTGTGGGGCGTTCAATTGTTTTTGCAATAACATTCTTTAACTTCTTAACGGTTTGACCGATTTTAACAAATTTGGTATGGTTGAAAAGAGCATTCCTCGGGCAATGAGAATCAACCAAAATATAGTTAATTTAGTTGAATCCTTCTCCGCCAGAGGGCTAGTTTTGACACTATGACTCAAAATCCTAAAAAAATCAAATGGAATGATATGACTTCTTCTTTATGAAAAAGTAGCCAAATTACATCCAAAGAGGCCAGTGAAAACCGTTTTTCAAAACCTCATTCCAAACCTCAAATATTGGGAAAATGAGATTAATTAATTAAAATGCTTAAATTGTATCTTAAATTTACTTTTTACGTATTTCCGGTATTTGTCGATGGCGCGAAGGAAAAGCACCCTACACTTTTAGGTAGGCCTTGGAAAATTAAACAAATGAAACATGCATTATAAAATAATAACAGCCGTAATTTGTAAATTATTCTGCTGTGTTTACATTTAGAAAGTGCAGTTTATTGAATTTGTAATCTTTTCTAAAATGCAGATTTCAAACCAAGAAGCATTTAATATGCTGGCGATAGTTTTTGAGTATTTTCAAAATGCGACCATCGCTGCCCGCATCTTCTATTTGCGTTATCCGAATCGACCACGAACCATCGCCGCCAGCATATTAAATGCTTCTTGGTTAGAAATCGGAATTTTAGAAAAGATTACAAATTCGAAAAACTGCACTTTCTGAATGTAAGCACAGCAGAATAATTTACAAATTACGGCTATTATTATTTTATAAGGCATCGTGTTTCATTTGTTTAATTTTCCAAGACCTACATAAGATACAATTTCAGCATTTTTATTAATTTATTAATTAATCTCATTTTCCCAATATTTGAGGTTAGGAACGAGATTTTGAAAAACGGTTTTCACTGACCTCTTTGGCTATTATTTGGCTATTTTTTCATAAAGAAAAAGTCATATCATTCCATTTGATTTTTTTTAGGATTTTGGATCATAGTGTCAAAACTAGCCCCCTGGCGAAGAAGGATTCAACTAAATTAACTATATTTTGGTTGATTCTTGTTTCCCAAGGAATGCTCTTTTCAACGATACCAAATTTGTTACAATCGGTCAAACGGTTAAGAAGTTAAAGCAGGTTATTGCAAAAACAATTGAACGCCCAACGCTATCTTTTTTTTTAAATAACTGAGTTTTTGTTTTTACGAAAATGATAGATAAACTGGTTCTTTTTAAAAATGTGAAAAAAGAATGTTTAGTTTATTATGCGCAATTGAAAGAAAATGCAATTTTAAAATTTAAGATGGCAGTTACGCCCTTTGGTGGTCACAACGCAACGCAATTATAATATTCTCACTATTGGAGTTTTTAGGTGTAACTAAATACGGATGGCGGTAATTAAAATTCCATGCGTTTTTACTAACGCCTTAACTGTTTGTTCAAACGAAGTGCACTGGGTAAGGTTCTGGACATAAAAGAAAAGTGAAAATTGAAACGCATCTTTCAATAAGTAAACATTGGCTGCTTTGTAATGAAAATAAACCGTTAGAATGTCAGGCTAACTATGGAAAAAATGGGATTTCTTGATGCAAATCTTTTCCGTGACCCTTATAGTTTGGTAATTTAGTTGATCACCTAAAGAAGTCGCCTATTCAGCGCCGCCCCAAGTTAATGCTGCCACTTACGACTGGCATACGAGTGATTTTATTATTAGTTTTCAACGTACTTTCAGCCTGTATTGTCAAATTTTTTGTCGCTTATGGTTTAGTTACTATGTACGCTGCCTCCCGGTCTATCAGTATAAGTAACGGGTAATCCTGGATTGAAAGACTAGAGCATAAGGAAACCCTTACAGTCGTTTACGTGTTATGTCGCTAATGTTATGCAGACAGATTTGCGTTTCCCAACTGCGAGGACAAATTTGAAGCTATTGTACTCGGATTTAAAGCGTTACAATTATTCGAAGCTCCACGCCGAAACTACCGCTTAGTTTCTAACTATCGGCTACATCGATTGCAAACTAATTAGTTTCAGGCTTTCGGAAAGCAGACTTACCACAAAAACTTGTCATCTCTAAGTAAACTGGACCGTAAATTTTAATTTTGAGGTTTTAGGTGTTTTTATAACGCCAGTGGTGGTCGATGTTGGTTGACTTGGTATGTACACTGTACAGATGGCGAGTTTAAATGCGTTTTCCACGTCTAGCAACTCCACGAAAGCTGCCGTACTTACAGCACTTTACGATCGTCAAGGGAATATGGCAACCGCACGTTGTTCGATTCCTCTTAGCGTACAGAATAGTTTCTAACTAGCCTTTTTCTTCATTTGCGCAATTTACAATCGAATACTTCTCAAACTTACCCCTCGTCTGCGATAAGAAAGCCTCGGGCACGTATTTGAAGTGAAAAATGTTTGCACTTCTCATGGTGGCGGTATTAGTATAATTCATCTAAACAGGAACGGCGGTGTAAATGGCTCTCTGGTGGGTTGTAGATATTTAAAATTGCATTGACCTTTCGAGCAGAGAAATCCACATGAGTCACCAATATGATGGCCGATCTAATAAAGCAGTATTTTTAGCCCTTCTTTAAAACCGTCTTCTTTCCAAAGTAAAGTGAGATAAATTGCTTTAATTACATCCAAAGCTACGTATGGTTTAAAATTACGCCGGTAGTATATTGCAAACGTTTCAGCAAGTTGACCCCCGGTTCTCTCTTGTATCCTTATCTTTCAGTTGCTTTTGTTATTACGCTACTAATGAGAATATATGGACTTGTGGTGCGCATGGAGACTTTGCGAAAACAAAGGAAAAACAAATATCCAAATATTTTCCGGTTCGAGAGAACGCTGGAAACACACACAATCGTATAATTCATAATACCCGCCATTATAATAGGATTAAAGGTGTGAGAAGTGCAAAGATCAGCGCTATTATTCAGCAAGGACAGCGGCATCGGAATCCGATTATCCGAATCGGACGCCATTCCACGTTCCGTTTCATCAACAGAAGCGGTAATGAGGGTTGTGTTTTAGTGGCGAACAACTCGTTAGAGTTCAAATAGGATTGCAATTACACTGTATTTAAATTCAAAGCTGACGTTCGCTCCCTGCGATTAATCTCAACATATATAAAGATTTGCGACTGTTTTCCAATTATTCCCGAGTAATTAGTCTAATGAATTTCCAGACTTTTGAAAGATATCGTGGCTATTGCATTCTTACTCCTGGAAAAGTGACTTACATAATCCGTATAGTCGTCATGTGCATAACTTGCCGTTTGGGATTCTCTAGTGTACCTAGCTACCTACTTTAAATTGCTTACTTTTTAGAGTAAGTATAAATATTTTAAACTAATCATCTTGGGTGGTAGAACTGAGGCTAGATCACTCTTTGACCAAAATGCAGGTTTTCGAATATTAGGTATGATGATTATCGATCGCTTATACTAATAATTTTAATAAAATGATCTTGATCTTGTTCATTTTACATTACCTGCAGCATTCTTGTAAAGCATGAAATTCCAGACCTTGTGGCGTTATTACTGCCAGATATTGCTGTGCCCCACGTTGGGCGCCAAATTAAAATGGCGTATGCAATAGTGTGCGGCCAATACGCCACCCAGCTAGTTCATAACAAACAAAATTGAATTGTATAATCTCTCCTCGGACTCTTCCGGCATCTGCTATAAAGAAAAATCCTAATATTGAGTTAAATTAATAATTTGGGAGACTCGGTAGCGTCGATCAATTTCTGAAAATTCCAAAGAATTAACTACACAAGTTTTGATGGCAACTGAAATAAATCTTGGACACCAATAAAAAAATATTACTTGATATTACTTGGTGTAATGTATTCGAATAAACACACAATTAATTGATTCATATTCAATTTATTCTGAAACAAATAAAATAAAATCTCTGAAAGAAAGAAAAGTTACATTGAACATATTACCCCGCACGCAGGCGATCGACAATTGAAATGAGATTTCTTATTTTATCACTTACCGTTTTTTTTCTTGTTAATAATCGAAATAATCTGGTCATACAACGTTTTCGATACTAGGCGCGCCACAACTGACACCCCCTCCCCGTCACTCACTGACAATGTAATACTTTGTAATTCTTTCCGATGAGATCTTTCATTGGAATGCCGTGAAAAGTAGAACGTGCCGTTACCCCCTTCCCCTCCGCAAAATATGAGACAAATTGTTTGCTGGGTATAAAAGTTATGCATGGTTTACTTTCAGAAGCAGCATCTCGGGAAATAATTAATAGGATTGGCCCCCCTTAAGACAAAAAAATGTGAAGGCCGTCTGGCACACTTTCAAGGTATGGCTGCATATTGCAAAAATTTCCAGGCCTCTAGGACAATTTCCCTATAAGTTGTTTAAAACCGCAAAAGTGGGTCCGAACAATGGATAGACAAAACGCAAACAATAGCACTTTTTTATTTCTTAAAAAATGTGTTTATTTCTTAAAAATGCGCCAAAAGATGACTGCCTTTTCAAGTAAACAAATAGGACTGACTGCCAGAGATTTTGTATAAACAAATTTACACCGTCGCGAAACTCAACGGCCTCGTTTTCTCGTACTCTCCAGTTATTAAAGAAATACCCCTTCCACCATAACATAATCTCCTTCTTCTTGTCACTTCCAATAAATCGCCAATCACGACGATCATACCAGAGGTACTCGCTTCCACTTTTGCTTGATAAACGCTCCCAGATAAAACCTTTTATAAATCACGCAAATTAGACCATTAATTGTTATTAATTATTATTATTAATCTAAGGTCTTATCTAAATTAAATAATTACAAAACCGATAAAATTTAAACAAGATTTGCGCATTTACAAAACGATCTACAATGAGACACAAATTCAAATGAAATGAACCTCAGATCTACTTAATAATATGAAACAATCCCATATACAGGATGTCCCGTCTTTATTTTTGGTGTTTAGACCGAAATAACGTTTACCTAACGTTGTTTGCACAACATTATACAGTTACAAGTATGACTTAAATGGAAGATACATTGTATATGATCCATTTTCCTGCGAACATAAAAAAGTAATACCTTCTCTGGACAGGGACGCCCTAGGTTCCTAAAAGTGTAAAAATGTTTCTATTGAATTTCCTAGATAGATTACTAATAATGTAAGAAGTTTTAAAGTTTCTGAGACTCAAAGGTTTCAATGAGAGTAGGTATTAGGGCCCTTGGGCCTGGTCTAATTCTGGAGACCGTGGGAAAACATTTTGGCATTTGGTCCGGGGTATGTATTTCGGCAGTTGACCAGGAGTGTTATATCTCAGTAGTTAGCCCTGGGTACAAGGTCACATTTTGGCAGTTGGCCTGGGATACAAGGTAAAATTTTGCAGTTGGTCCTGGGTGCAAGGTTGAATTTTGGCAGTTTGTCCGGGGTGCTATATTTCGGCAGTTGGCTCGAGGGCCAGGGTCATATTTTGGTAGTTGGCCCACCATCTGGATGCCATTTTAAACCCACCATCTTGGATGCTATTTTGGACTCGGTACCTTGGACCTGCGTCATCGGTGGTTGCTGGAAAAAGGAAGTACATTATTGAAGCAGTTAAGATGCGGAACAATTTTTTAAAACGACCCCCCCCCCGCTCCTAAATACTTTTTGGTAAGGGTTTGCGTGACAGCCTGTATATCATGCTTTTAACCTTCTGTAATTCGGAGTCGTAAAATCCACCAACACATGCTTTCCTTTCATATGGGACAGCGGTATTAGAAATAAAAATGCGTGTCAAAGAAACGATTTAAACGTAAAATAAACGTGAATTCACCTGAATACAAACCTCGTAGTACCTACGAACAGTAACGGTAGAATTACGTACGCAGATAAATAAACTAAAATTTCCTGCCGTAATCGTTTGCAAATAACATAAAAAAACGCATATATCATTATTGGATTACATTTAAGTCAAGTTTATTTGGAATTGCGAAAATTAGCAAAGCCATTGTTACGAGTTCGTATTTCGAGTCCACCATGCACATTTTTCATTGTCCGTTGGAGGCGATAATTCTAAAATAATGCATTTATATATTTATATACCTACGTACTGCTTCCTCTAAGAATTTTTGTTTGGTTTAGAGAATTGTTGTATAAATTAAACAATACCTGTATAAACAAATATAGCAAACGAACTCCTGGGTATGGCTATAGGCTGGCATTGCGTAATATATGGTTAAAGCTATGCTCATTTTGAATTTCATGCAATTCAGTTCATAATTAACGGAGATGTCAAAAGGCCTTCCTTACTTTTTTGGCGTAGGTACATTCACGAACTCCGATCTAAAATTTGATAAAGAATCCACCTGCAAAATTTCATCGTTACCGGTCCATTCGTTTTCGAGATATCGCGCTAACGGACAGACATCGCAAGGAGTTCGTTAATAAAGATAAATTCTCCTTACAGGACTCGGTGGGTTTGATTTTAAGCTGTGTGAAACGGAAATTTTTTCACTGTATATAAATGTGTTCTTGTCCAACCCAGAAGGAAATAGAATGTCGTATTTCTCTTTTTGAACTTAGTATTAAATAGTGAAAGCGTTCTAACTGAGTTAAAATTATATTTAGTTAAGAATTACGATGTGGTTGTAGAAAAGGAAAAGGGGCGTTATTTGTTTGTTCATCATTAAAGGGATTATTAAATTATCCCTGATAGCGTAAATAGAAAAAATAATGGAAGCTGCGTTTGAGTAATTCATTGTTTGAATATACGTAAATATTTTGAAAATGTTTCTTCGTATGCCAATAAAGTGGTCTAAGGTGGAGGAGAAATTTTTGTATATTTTGTGTTTTTGTAGACTCGCAAAAACGCAACCACTACTGTTACTTCGGAATCTTCATTTCTTTACTTTCACTTGTTTGTTGTAATTTCAAATACTTTTATAACGACGACTTAAAATCTCTTAGAACAACATCTAAACTTTCGTCAACTTTACAACCACCTAAAATGCTAACCAAAAAACCTTGTTTTTCCTCATCTCCGCCTATGTAAAACATCCTTTCCTTCTGAACTTTTCCGATCTATTTCCGGAGGATAACAGTATTCAGGTAAGAATTTTCTTCCAAAAACAGCACCAGCGTTGTTGGTTTTCAACAATTTGAGTGCGTTTGAAATTGAAGGTGATTAAAAAAGTTTAATTTTGAAACTAAAAGACTTAAGGGTCATCATTTCAATTCAGTAGCTCTGTGTGTCAACTTGGACATTTAACGCGCAAGCAACTTGCGACAGTAAAACTTACTAGTCGAAACGTATACGAGACCTCCGGGGAAGTTTTCTGACAAATTCAGGTCGATTCTGAATTTTCGAGCATGAGTGACATTGTCGCCCGACATCGACAGTGCTATCAGACAGCAACTTGCGTGAGAAAACTTCCCAGTCTATTCCCGCCTTAAGACCATTTGGGATTGGTAGTGACAAGAAACATTAACCGATAAACAATTAGACATGGCTGTTGAGATTACAGATTCGCCATTGAATAGGTGGGCCCTAATATGGTAGAAGGGGTTAGTTGGATAGTTTTTATGTTATTAGATTTGGTGTGGATCCGAAGGGGAAAGCACGTCGCCGCCCAAGAAATCAATTAGGTTTTGTATGGGAAACAGTTTATTTTAGTCCCCTCTACCGCCCACATAGATACTTGTTACATCCTATAATCTATATAGTAGTTGCACTAATTGCGGATATGGGGGCGATTTTGTGCAAAAAATCGAGAACCTGGCTCTTACAATTTCAAAACGCAGCCCATTTTACATCCCTTAATTACATAGGTTCATTTAGAATAGCCCATATATATAATTGGATTCCGTCTATAAATTATATATGTCGCAGCCGTTTAATGAAATTGGACATTTCATGAAAAGTCTAGTCCGAGGCCTAGTCATTTAGTGAAACGCTGAAAATTTGTACGTGTGGGGTAATTTCCCTTCCCCTTCTAGATCGATAAGGATACCATTTATCGATCTCTAATGGGAAGGGAATCCAATCGCTTGGTCTTGGAAAGTAAACTGTTCCACAGTTTCATATAAATGACTAGACTTTTCATGAAATGTCCAATTTCATTAAACGGCTGCGACATATACATGTTTCGTATTTAACTCGGAAGTGTGAACACATGTAATCCAATATAAATGGGACAAGTTACGCATACATTCATTTGCAGCCTTTTGGATGAAATGTGTTTGTCTTTTAAAGAACAATTGCATGAAATAAATCAAAACCACCACTTGACATAATTCGGCCTTTATTTGATTTATTTTATTTCCACTTTTGGAACAAGCAAATCTGTGCCAGTATGACCTTTGTAAGATATACCCTGCTGAAAATATCGAACTGTTCCTTGGCCTTGTCCCAATAACTTTTAAAGGGATCGAGTTTAACAGTTCATCTAAATGTCGAACGTCTCTAATATAGAGGTAAACTAAACTTGGAATTACGGAAGTCATTATTTCGTGGTAGATTAGCAAAAATTCCTTAACGTAGATATTTAGGAAACTTATCTCAGTAATGTGCGTTATTTGCGTTTGCGTGCCTATATTTATTGTTTTTTTATGGCAAAGAAGTAGTTCACGGAGTGTAATAATTTAAGAAAAGTCACGTTCTAAAGTCACTAATAATCTACTATTTAGTTTTTTGTATGCGAATATCTTATGTTCTTGAAATTCATCCGTTCCTGGGGTTCAGATCGTAGCACTGAGCTAAAAGAAGGGACAAGCTCACTACAGATTTGTACGTAAAGGAGGCTATAGTCTTTCGTTTAATTGTGTTGCATTTAGGGAAAATGTGTTTCGTTTCTACTACCCTATAGCAAATGTTCTGTATTTCATACGTTCATCATAATCCCCTTGCAAATAAAACAAGCAGACAGAAATAAACAACACCCGAATTGGTGTAAAATAGCGTAAAAATTATGAGAATAACGGACTTACCTCACAGAGGACTGTCACAAAGTGGAAAATTTGCATTTTATTTAGCATTTAATAACGGTAAAAATAAAACAATACAACAGTTTGTGGCCACGAGATAGCGCTTGCAATTTTCATTTGGAGGGCCCATATTTTAAGAGAATTTATTCTAGTTCAAGCCAACTACTAAAAGGCTAGACTAGCCTGACCCCGGCTCAACTAAAAGAGTCTGGATCACTCTCTTCTTGTTCATTTCCATCCTCGTCTCACCCTTGCCAAATTGTGCATAAGGAAAAGGGAAAACCTCTCTAGAAATATTCTCCACGGTTAACGCCACCACCATTTTCGCTTAAACCCTGTACGAAGCCCTCTTGTTCCTCCCAATTTTAAATGTCGACTATGCGACGACTTCATTTTTCGGTCATATAAGGTAAATTTATACATAACAAAGATAAGAAATTTCAATAAAAGTTCAATTTTCCATTTTATATGAAAAAGCAGGAATATAAAATGGAATTTTCTACGTAAAAAACTTTAAATAAGGGCGAGCTTTATTGAAGGTCGATATCCACTCGCGGTGTATCTATAGATCGAGTTTTGATGTAAAGACCAAAGTGGAAGGCAGATCAGAAGTGTTGGGTAAATTTAAGTTCGAGTTGGCGGCAATAAACTATCGAGAGGCCACCTTTAGAAACAACGAGGTTTATGGCTTAAGAAAATGGTTAAGTAATGGCCGTCCGATAGCGAATTAATCAATCAATACGCACCCCAAAAGGCCCCTTTGTGAATTAAACCAATGGACGTTTTCTCAATCTCCGGTAACCTTTAAATAACGACCTTAGGTTAACATTAGTTCAATTAGGTTGTGCCAATTAACAGAGACCGAAGCGAACGCGCTACCAATAAATTCATGAACTTTTCGCGGAATAAACTAATGCTTCGGGCATAAATTTGGAATATCGAAAATAAGTAAAAATTGAGGAAAATTAGTTTTCGTAATACAAACGTAACTCTCCCCATTTTTGCGATGCACATCTATGTATTGATCTAGGCCAAATAGGATATGCGATTCAAATGGAATCGTTCGTATGAATTCCCGATTTATTTCTATGTACAGTCAATTTAAGCAGTTTCCAATCAGAGAATGTAACTGTTCCTTTTAGTAAAATATGAGAGATGAATAGTGTTTCATGGTTAATTTTTTCCAATATTTACCATTGCTAAATGATTTTAGATAAAAATGTATTTATTTAGGTGGTTGTGTACCTTTTAAAAGCATATAAATAGTGATGAATGGAACACGTCTCTGACAAAATCCCAGTTCGGTTTTCCACTTTGATCCAAAAACAAAATATTGCAAGAGAAATATTAAATATGGGTTCAACTACTAAGTACAACAACAAATTTAAATGACATGGTTCCAGTTTGCCAGTAATAACGAAATATCAAATGCTGACTCCTATGTTATAATAAACCGGTCCTCAGATATGTTCTTCTTCTGGACTAGTCTTAATGCTGGATCGGATCTCTACGACGCAATTTCCACACATATGCGGTTTTCTACAACGTGGAAATTTCTACGACGCAAAAAATTCCTTTACCATACAAGATACCGAAAAAAT